GCTGATGACATCACGTAAATGCACATATGAACATACGGTACTCACACATGAGCGCAGTCCGTCAATCTGCGAATGGATGATGTTTAAGAAATCGTCAAATTTTTTTAGCATCCCATTCCCAGGGAATGATGGCATCGTCGAAGAGGCCAGTGATCTCCACCAGAGCCTGAATGACAAACAGGATCTGCTTCTCAGGCTGGAAACAATAGAGATAGATGTTAAATATAGCTTTGTAGTTTGTAATCAACAGCACAAATCAGTTTTTTTTTTTTTTTTTTTTTTTTTTTTTGGTGATAATCGTTTTTACTAACCTCTGCTCTTCTGTGGTTATTGATCAGCTCATATGGGATAGGGTTGATGTCCTCGTGGTCATTATGGATTTTCTCACCCTGCAAAATATTTAGAAACAGATTTCATGAAGACACTATATTGAACAGAATCAAATCTGAATGCTTTTTAATTTTTTGTATCGTATTTGATTGATATGGGTCATTAATATAGTAAGAATATGAAGTTCACCAGTTTTATTCAAAGGCAAAAGACTGAGCCGAAATATGAAAGTTGCTGTAGAGATTGATTAACATGGCCAAAAAGTAAGATGAAATTCTGATAGCTAAATCCGAATAACAGATACTGACATAAAATTCATATTAATAGATCAGTAAGATGATATAGTTTTATGAACCATATTATGGAGTAAAACATATAATGCAATGCAATACAATGATGATTGACAGATAAAATAAACTTCCCTCAAAAGCCTGATATTATATTGATTCTCACATTTCAACATGATTTCTTTCATCAATCAGTCCAGTAAGTGTTCGTCATGAAATTTCACTAACAATATAGTATATCAATATAGTATAACAATATAAATATCACTAACAGATTGAGGTTTTTGCTCATGTTGGTAATTTACAGGCCAAGTCATGTATTGTATGATACAGTAGCCAGGGTTCAAAACACTTTGTGAAGTGTTTTTACACTTACAGTCCTTCATGACAATTTTAAGACAAATATTAATCTCTCAAAGAATAGCCATATATGTATAAAAAAAAATCGAAAGACATTAGTAAAGTAGAAAAAGAAAAAGAAAGAAAAAAAACACTCACCATCGTTCTGATCAGATCCAGAGAGATCCCATGATGGTGCAGAAACTTTGATTGACTTTGTTGAGTTTGTCTGGTCCACCTGCAGCTCAGCACAGAGCTGACACACACTGCCAGGAGAAGGCATAGCTTCAGATCCACACGAACATTCATCCTGTTGTCTTGAGTGATCAGTGATTCAGGTTGATCCGCTTGATGAGCTTCTGCTGCTGCTGTTTCAGTCCTCCGTTTGTTCTTTACTGCTGTTGTATGATCTTGTCTCTTCTCCTCCATTCTGTCCTCTTATATAGGCTATCTCTTATGAATCGAATATGATATTCAGATTCACTTTGCAGATGTCACAGCGGCACACCTGAGCCGATAGGTAAACCACACTCGGTCGGGAAAGTTCCTGTCATTGGAATTCCTATTCTCATGTACACAATAACAACCGCAAATACACTACACTTGAATGTATACAGTATTAAACACCACCGAATAGTAATGTAGCCCTATACAGCAGCCCTACAATAAATAGGCTATTAAAAGACAGAGAGAGTAGGCTAAATGGACGTGTTGCCTTGTAACGAACACAACTAAACAAATAAATAAACAAAGAAATTACACGATAGGCCCAGAAAAAATACTGCAGAATAAAGCATAATATCATATAGCCTATTGTTGGAGAGCATAATAGCCTAGGCTATATATTAATTAGCCTACACAAATGTTTACAGCGTGTGTTTTGTTTAGGCTAATAATTTATTTTAGCTAATTCTTGTCTGTCTGTTTGTTTGTTTGTTTGTTTGTTTGTTTCACGGTTTGCAGAAGAATAAGGTCAGGTTTCTTTGCGTTTGAGTGTGAACTTTGGCTCTTAGGCTATTGTAGAAAAAAGTCCAAACCTGAATACCTGAGAAAGTGAAATCGAAAGCCATATAGTGACGTCTTGAGTCGTGACCAGGCTACCTATTTCATATTTCAATTTATCATTAAATACACATGAATTATTACATTACAATTAGTTATTGCAAGAATATTAGTCAGTGAAAATACTAATTCCCTGGGCTAAAATCATATAAGGAGAAATATAGCCTATTGTCATAGAAAATGCCGTCCGGCAATGCTGATGACGTAATGCCTTGAGTTGAAAACACACGACAGGTGATGGTGATGAAAGAAGAAGAAAAAAAGATAAAGGTAATAATAATAATAATAATAATAATAAGAAGAAGAAGAAGAAGAAGAAAATTTAAATAAAGCAATCAAATCTTTTTTTTTAAATAGATACCAAAACCCTAAAATAAGGGAATGCAGGTAAAGTTGGACACTTTTTGTTAAATGTGTGAGTTAGATATAGGCTATACCTACGTTTCTTTTCTTTTCTATTAACTTTAAGGTCCAGCTTCAATTTGAATAGGCCTACAGTTCATATTGTTGTTATTTGCCAGGTATAAACATTTTAAGATCATGCTCTCCAGACAAAAATAGGCTATTAGTATTATTATTATTATTATTAGGCTTATTATTATTTTATTATTTTCAGCAAATGTCGGCCAGATGGTCTTAAGTGAGCCATCCCTGATTTATCAAAAACGATCCTGTATCAAAAACACACATCATTAGAACATATCATCAAGGCTCAACAACATTAAACAAACCCAAAATAGCTTAGGCTATTAGTAAAATTCATTAGTTCACTCAATAAAATTTAAAACAACTGATGGGACATGTTGTGTTGACATTAAATTTAACGAAATGAAAATGAACTCCACAACATAATAAAAATGTGACTATAACATGCAAGGCTCCAAAATTTGAATAAGATGATCATTCAATATGGCTTTTTTTCTGTCTATTTTCTCTAAAACAACTTTAATTTTGTTCATATTTTAGAGCTCTATATTTAATGTTGCTCCTCTCGTCCTTTCTTCGCTCCTCCGGTTGAATTTAACACCTTCTGTTCTCTTTCCTTTCTTCCATCTCTGACTTGAATTTCCTGACTACACACTCATGTCTGTTTTCTAAAAAAATATACATGTCAGTTATAAAATAACAAGAATGAATGTCAATTTGAGAATAATTAATGAAGGTTAAAGGTCGCCCACTTTACTAATCCAACTTTACTGTCCCACTTTATCTAACACATTCAGCCAAAGTGGGCCAGCAATATTTAAACACAAGAAAACTTTAAGCCTTTTAGTCTTTGCATTATTACTTGTTAACTGTAGTAACAAACAATACTATTTAAGTTAGCAAGCAACCTTATGTTGAAAATGAAAATCTTATGTCTAAACTGGGTTTTCTTTCGTATTGAGTTTTCTGTCATATTGTTTTTTGATGTGTGGCCACGACCACCAATATCAACCAACAATATTTTTTTATCATTTAAAGAAATAGTGTCTACTGAGCCACATAGTACAATCACTCTTAAACGACCCACTTTACCTGCATTCACCCTACATAGCCTACATAGCCTAAGCTAAATACATACATGTATGGAGTATAGCATAGGCTTAGCATAATAGTAAATAAACCCTGACCCATATAAAACTCTGACCCTATTAGGTCAGAGTTTAATAGATTTTCTTTCCAATAATACAAATAGTCATATCAACGGACATAATTTTACATAGACCCACACATAGTTGAATAAACAAATAAGGATTTTAAAGTAGCCTATAGATAATACTAATAGTAATTATAATCAAATCAATTTCACAAGAAGAAGTAGAGTAGTTAATTTGCGCATGAATGCATATTAGTGTCTTTTTTTCCATATGACGAGTCTAGAGAACATGCGTTATAGGCCTATTGTTTTTTGTTGTTGTTTTTTTCTTTGAAAAATAAATATATAATATTAATATAGTATTCCATACATTTGTCAGAGCTTGGTAGACAACTATTATATTTGTTAATGTTATTAAACAGATTAATAAATACATTATAATTGGTATTATTAAATATTAATCATATATGCATACTAAATTATGGTCATATCTGTAATACACACTTTATGGCAATTAAAAGAAAGTTTTAAAAGTGCTACATTATTTAAATAAAAAATAGACAAACAATTACATATCAATTTCAAAATGAAATTCAAAATCAATGTGAGTAAATAAAACAATAAAAATATCCCATCCATGCAGAATTATCAAAAACATGATTACTGGTTCATATATATATATATATATAAAAATAAGTAAAATAATAAAATGTAAAATAATAATATAAAATGTTTTCTGTTGCAAGCTCACATACTTGATGTCATGTTTTCTCGTGGTTTATTGTTGAGCTGTCAAGTCGTCATGTTGAAATAACCAGTTCCATACCCTTGACACATTTTTTTTATTTCATTTAATTATTTATTTATCTCGTGTATGGGTGTCCCTTATTTTGCCTCACTGAAGGTGGCAACCCTAGACCAGAATAAACTCTTAAATAAATGAAGACAGGCATAGGCTATAGGCTACAATAGTCAGCTTTTAAAGCTTTATTTTCATACGTCAGTTAATGCATATATACATATTTTTTTGTTACTTGCTATTTTAATTTAGTTGTTTTGAAACTCATGTGTGAAATGTCCTACACGTGACGTCACAAAGGGGTTGTAGAACAAACATATTTTTCTAATGCTTTATTTGTCATTAATGAATCATTTTATTGTCATTTTTACACAATATTAGGCTATTTATATTTCTTTAAAATCAATTTCTGTACATTTAAATTACTTTTCTGTTTTATTCAACTATGCTGATTGTTGGTTGTAACATTTTATTCATTTCCATCAGACATAAATAAAGCAGTCTGTTTAGATCTCGTTGGTGTCTTTAACGCACTCAATGCTGCGCGCGAATTGCGCAAGAGTTCCAGTCGTCAACAGGAACACCATGAACCTTGCGTTCATTTCCCATCCTGCCTTTCGCGTCAGCTCAGCTGATCTGGTCACATCGTTTGTGTGTGCTCTTCTGTTTTCCTTGTTCAGCAAACGCGAGTGACAGATATCACACGACTCGTGTGCATGTCGATTCGGTAAGACACATCACCCATGACCGTGCATTGTTGAATCGGCATCGCGACAGAAAAACGCAGAACAAACATGGTGAGTGGACGAGCTTATTGTGCTGTATAATGTATTATTAGCAATAATAATAATGATAGTATTCCTGTCTGTTGTGTAGCGGCAGATTCGTGTGCAATAAGAAATTTTGTAAATGTTCGTGTGTCATTTAAGGTCGTTTGGATGCTTCTGAAATAACTTACTTAGATGAAATGCTACTGTTTTGACCATATAAACAACGCTTCCCAATGTGTTGCAGTGTTTTCAGGGAGTGGACTGTCAGAATGTTGTGTTGACTTGAGTCTCTAGTGCAAATTACATAAAGAAGTGCACTTTAATAATAAAAAAAGAGAGTACTTATTACTGAAATACTGTAGTTAAATACTGAGTTACTCTAGTTAGTAGTAATATGCTTACGTGCAAAGGGAATGTAATGTGATTGGACACTTAAATGTATTATAATTAAAATTTACGTAAAATAACGTTAAATAACGTAATAGTGCTTTTTTACCCACTTATTTTTGAATATGGTTGAAGTGTACTGCTGAATACCAGTTTTTATTGGACTACTTTGATGTAAAATGAACATGTTAACATGTAGCCTACTTCATTGACGTGTGGCAGAATCTAGCCTATCTGAAGAGGAAACTTGTAGGCTTGTGTGTATCAGTTCCACTATTCGCTGCCTAAACAAAGACTGCCAGTAATTACGATTTTCTTCTCCTCATTGTGGTTTTATTAGCTACCCTGTAATCTCCTTTATTATATGAACATGTAGGGAAGTGTAACATGAGTTACACCATCAGTCTAACAACCTAGAAAATATCTACAGATGAAACCACTATATGAGAGAACAGAATTGGTGTCATTTAAATTTAAGCATATTCTCATGTATAATTTGATTTTTTTTAAAAAAAAAAACAGGCACAAAAGTATTTGATGTACATGTTTAAAAAACATCATGGCTGAGAAACACAGAGGGTTTGTAATGCAAAAGATGGCACAAAATGAAAGAGTGACCAACTCATACTCACTCTCTCTGTTTCTATATTTGCTTCTGGTGTTATTTGTGTTTTGAATGAAAATATTACCTAGAAACAGTGTCCACTATTTGTGTTACATCCCGTGTGGTAGGTTGTAACAACATCTCTGTTTTTTTCAATTCATTTACTCTGATTCAGATATTCAGCTTTACACTGATATGTTGTAAATTTTGAAACTACTTAATTTTGAGGCTAACACATAATGGGGAATTTGAGACTGCATTACAGTGTGACAAAATGACTGTGCTGCAGTGTTACAAAATGTTACAACACTCCCGATCTCCTCTATAGCCATTTGTCTATTTTGCAGTGTGTGAAGCACGACTAACCGAAGCCAGAGAAGCCATGCTGGCCACCCAAACACCTGAGAGCGGCCCAGAGGCAAAAGATGTCAAACAGGTTTGCAACTTTCTCCTCTTTTTGAAGATTAGTTGGGTTGTGGACATTAGAAGGTCATTGATTGTTTTGACTTTTTGTTGAGCAGGTTCTTGGAGGAAAATTGATTTTTTTTTCTTGTAAACCTGTGTTAAATCAAAGATGATGCGTGTTGTTTAGAATGTTAGAAAGCTTATATGCTGAGAAAACTATCAGTGAGCCATCACCATGCATAGGTTGATTTGCATGTAAGGTGAACACTGCGGCACTACCATAACAATGCTTCCCGTTCTGTTTTAATACATTTTGTTAAAAGGAGTTTATAGGAAGCCACTGTTTGCCTGTTGTCTTGTGGATGTCAGACCGCACACATAGAATGTTACTAGACAAGTATTGTCTATGAGAGAAGTGTCTGCTCAAGAGATGCTGTTTTCTTACTGGCCATTTCCTCTTTATTTGCTCAAGACTTTTGTTATTAGCTGCAGTTCTGTTGCACTTTTATTTTCAAAAGATTTCACACACAGGAATAACTAAAGCAAAATGTGTACAAAAGCTCATCAGATTCAATCGCTCCATTTGCACAACTTAATGCACAGATTCAATCAGATTTTAATATTTTGTGCTATCTGATACATTCACTCAGGCAGCTGTGTTTCGTTAGCTCTTTAGTTCTTACTATTCATAAGATTCGTACTATTCGTTCTTACGATATTGAACAAAATATTTACAAAAATATATATGCTGTACTTAACCATAAAATATACAAACTTATCGTCATATAAAATATACATACTTGCACACAAATTTTATCTTTCAAAACTAATAAAATACATGTATATGAATAAAATAAAGCACAAGAATCTAATAAAAAAGGTGAAGCACACAATTACCCAAACATTGTACATTTAGGCTTACAAATAAAAAAAATATTTTATCTAATAGATCAGTTTAATCTCCCAAACTCACTAATTTTGCCAGTTTCTTTTTAAGCATATCTTCTTTACCCTTTCAAACTCTTGACATTTTGTTGTTATATTGTTTCAAATATATTTTAAATACATATACATTTTAGACTACCTTTCTACTTACTAAAATAATACTTGAGTTTAATAAAGTTTTTTTTTCTCTGTGTGTGTATGATCATCCCACATTACTTACCCTATATGAATTCAGTGGTAATTTAAGACCAATGGACAACAACAAAAAGGCAATATAAAAAAGTCTTCCTCCACTTCTGAACAGGAGGATTTTCATAAAATTTATTTAATCTGAAAATCCCCAAAAATTACACTTGAAAAGGTCTCATACAGGATCTAAAACATTTTGCAAGCTTTTAAAATGAACACTACAGAATATGATAATTGTCTTTGTATCTTAATATTGACATACATTTTACATTTACATTTATTCATTTAGCTGACGCTTTTATCCAAAGTGACTTACAATTGCTATATATGTCAGAGGTCGCACGCTTCTGGAGCAACTAGGGGTTAAGTGTGTTGCTCAGGGACACATTGGTGTCTCACAGTGGATTCGAACCCGGGTCTCTCACACCAAAGACATGTGTCTTATCCGCTGCGCCACCACCACCACATACATGATTAATATTGACAGAAAGTGATTAATTCAGACCTAGCATATCTTCTTAAAGAGGTAGATCAGATGTGTTGTAAAAAATTCTTATCTAAATCTAATCTGTGGCAGTTTCCTCTTTCGTCACACACTAGGTGCTTGCTTATCATGATTGACACAAACTCAGTGTTTTCTAGTTATCTTGGCTTCATTCTTCTGAGGTTTGCAGTCACCATGTTAGCTTTGATTGACAGCGCTTTGGCTCATTCGTAATCAGTCAGCTGACATCAGGTGACAGTCTGTCTGTAGGTATTGCTCACATTCACATGGCAAAACATGATGACTCCTCTGTTCTGCCTTCTTCTCTTAGATCCTCAAGAGGCAGCCTAATGCTTGCAAAGCATTGTGTGAAGTTGTTTTGTTGTTGCAAGAGATTTTCTTGATTCGGTCTGCTGACCTAAATGTCACGATCATTCCAGTGACCTGACCTCAAACCAACCACGCATTACAATCAATGCAAATTACACACCCTTAAACTTTATTGATTTTGAGTCAAAAAGGAACGTTTTTGACTATTGATTTCATGCGTTTCCTGGCGTTTTCCTTCCGTGGTTTCTTTGTTTTGACATCTTGTCCAAGAAAAGATGTCTAAACAGACGTATTACAGAGTCAAGTCCTCTTTATTTATATATTGCTGTATACCAAGGTCTTTCTGAATACTCGATTCTGATTGGCTGCACAGGTCGTTCCAAGTCATTGTTCTATATTAGTGCGCTGTTTTAATTAAAGCACAAACACTCATACGTCACTCAGAGATCATGCTGCTCACACACAGAAACATTCAGGAGCACCGAAACGTATCAGCACTGCTATTAATAAAATAGCTTCGGAATCGCTTCATTATATTTCTCAGCAACGAGGGGGTAACATTGCCGGTTTTGAAGTATTTAAACTCACAGCTTCGTTGTTAATAGAGAGAGACGCTGCATAGACGCAGGTAATAGTCACAGGCATCTCTTTCTCTCGCTCGATAATTCAAATAAATGCTATTAGTTCAAATAAATGTAATTTTATGGCACCACTTTATCTCTGTATCTGATTTAAATAGGACAATATGCTTGATCTAACGAGCCGTAACTGGCGAAAATAACCATTTTTACCCTTTCGGTCAAATATTAGCTAATAAACCACAGCTAGCTGGGCATTAAACCATTGAACCATTTGGGGAGGTCATGGCCACTTAGCCAAGCCCCTTTTACACAGAGCGTTGATGCCGGGAAATTGCCAGAACGCCTTCCGTGTGAACGCAGACACGACCCGGGATTGATACCGGCAAAGATGCTGGGTTGGGGACGTAGTAACATTGTCGGTGTTGTGCCTAATTTCGACCCCCATTCGAAATTATTAATTATTACCCCCTTAGCATCGGTATGTTTAGGATTAGTAGTGGGGGAGGGGGTAGGTACTGTCTTCAACGAGGGGAGTAATAATTTGACGGGGTCGAAATTAGGCACAACACCGGAATCGGTCCCAGAACGAGCGCTGTGTGAACAAAAGCCAGGACCAATGCCGTAAGGGGTGTGTCATAGTGATGACGCTCGTGCCATCGCGCGATTCTGTTGCTCTTAGAAGAAAGTTTGTGTTCGTCATCAACAAAGAAACTACAAACAAATGTCTGCAAACTGGAACGAAGCAGAGACCAGGAGCTCCTCTCTATTCGTGCTGAAGCTGAGATCGTTCACCAGCTTTGTGGAACGGTATGTGCGTGTACATGTTTTCGACGCGTACGTTACACGTCTCATCCTGACGTTATGTCTCTTTCCGGGATCTTTACGGGTTGTGTGTGAACGCACTCACAGATCCCGGCAAATCACTGGCAGTGTGAATGAACCGAAATCAAACAATCCCAGGACAAATGCCGGGTCACATTATCCGTGTATTTTCTGGAATCTCTGTGTGAAAGGGGCTCTAGAGTCAGACTGGTAACACAAAGGTTGAGGGTTCGATTCTAAATACCGGCCGGAAATGACCGAGGCAATTGAGCAAGGCGCCTAACCCCCAATCGCTCCCGGGGCGCAACAGCAAAATGGCTGCGGGTGTGTGTCTGTGTCCATGGTTTGCAGTGTGTGTGTTCACTACTCACTGTTCTGTATGTGTGTGCACTAACTTGTGTTATGGGTGGGTTAAATGCAGAGAACAAATTCAGAATATGGGTTACCTTATTTCCTTTTCGTCACTTTTACACTTTCAAATGAATGCACTCCACTTTTCGCCATGTTGTCATTTGTCTCTATATGACAAAGAATTACATTTTCCCATAAAAATCGTTTAAAGCACATCTAGCCGTGAATTATCCCTTACTTATACAATACAGATTGTTTAAAAACAGCTTCAAAATAATGAACAGAATTAGTTATGCTACTAAAAAGTGACAATAGTGTCAGTTCAATTCAGTGTTGATTGATCTCAGTTCAATAACTATGTTAAGTTCATCAATTCTGAAACAAGTTCAATTCAGCTATAAGCTGCTCTGCAGAAGACAACAGTGTCTTTGTTCAGCTCAATTGAAGTTCAGTTCATGTCAGTGTAGTCAAATTTTCGGAATATTAAACGGCGATATTAACCTTTCTCTTGTTCTCAGTGGATCAAGGAAAAGATCGCACGGATGCTAAAAGCCCTGCAGAAGCGTTACATCACCACGGACACGGCGGTCACCAGCGAGGACCTGGAAGCAAACCTGCTATGTTGTGCTTTAGAGGCGGTTTTCATCCATGGACTCAAGAGCAAGTTCATCAGATTTGATGGAGGTAACTTGCGCAAAGGAGGATCACGAGGAACACTTCCTCAGCCTGTCTTCTGGAGCCTGTTGAAGACCGTCACACACAGGTGGGTCATAGGTTAGCAAAGCAAAATTGAATTTGGTAAAATGGTAAATGGACTGCATTTATATAGCGCTTTCATAGACCCAATGGCCACCAAAGCGCTTTACATATTTTGCCTCACATTCACCCATTCATACACCGACGGCAATGTCAGCCATACAAGGCGCCATCCAGCTCGTCGGGAGAAGCTGGGGTTAGGTGTCTTGCTCATGGACACCTCGACACTTGGTCAGGTGGAACCGGGGATTGAACCACCAACCTTTCGGTTTGTAGACAATCTACATGAACCACTGAGCCACTGCCGCCCCAAATTTGAAATAAAATTTTCAATTATTTTCAAGACGCATTCCTATCTATTTTCAAAATGCATGTTTTACATCTTATTGTGAACAATTTATTTATTTTTTGAAGGGTTCCTATAATTCCCTTTTCACAAGATGTAAATAAGTCTCTGGTCTCCCCAGTGTGTGTATGTTAAGTTTTAGCTCAAAATACCCCACAGATATTTTTTATAGCATGTTGGGTGAGCAAAAACGTGCTGTTTTTGTGTTTGTACCTTTAAATGCAAGTAAGCTGCTGCTCCTGCACAGATAGAGGGCGGAGCTTCAAGAGATTGTGTGTTAGCATCTGTGTTTTTTGGAGCTGATGTAAAGTTAACTATCTTGGATTAGTCAAGTCATGGATTAGCATATTCTGTCTTGATATTCCATAAATTGTGTTCCCGGGGGCAGGGGTTTATGTACATTTTAGTGATGTTACTAACCTGTGAAGAAGCTCATTGTAGTTCCTATCAGCGGTTTGTTGTGGTGCTTAAAATGCAATTTCTGTACAAGCAAATATCTCCCTTTGCTTTGAACTTTGAGCGTTGTAAATTTTCTGATGTTATTTATGCTCAAACAGTAACATTACACACTAACTAAAGTTAAAAAACAGTGAAATCATAATCAACCACCCCTTTAAAAAAATGTATTTGACCTTGTAATGTTTAATTCAAAATGTCATACCTGGACCTGCTGAAGAGATCTTATGACCCCTAACTTTTAAATGGTAGTGCATCCACCAACCAATTTCCTCCTTTCAGCATATCAGTTAGCGAAGGCCACATAAAACTTAGTTATTATCTGAAGGCTCATTGGCTCCCATGGCCTTAAGGGATAGCATGTCTCTTTTGAATTTAAGATGCATTTGATACTAGAGGAAACTAAACGTTATTAATGAGAACTTATTGGATTAAATTATACCCTACTCTTTTCAAAATCATTTCTAGACTCATTTGTGTTTTTTTTTTTTTTTTTTTTTTTACTAACCAAGGCGATTGATGTTGGTTCATGCTTCAAAATAATTTTAACCAAGTCTTTCCAAGTGAGCAACCTGTCACCCGTTTGGAAACAGAAATAGGCATGTCAGGGAGACTCTGTGAGGATTGTGACAAGCCTGTAGGATTAGTTGAGTCATGTGGTTTAGTAATTGGCTCCATAGCCTATGGGCAACAGTCAAGTGACCCTGACTCACTTTGAGGCACTTTGACTCATGCTTGAGGGTTTCTTTCGTAGTTAACTCAATAGGAAAGTTTTCAGTCTTGAGTGAAGGAGGAGGAAGTTGATAAAGTGTACTGACAAAATGTATAGTATGGAAATCACATTACGTCACAATATGATGCACATCACAATTAGTAATTTTACATGCATAAAGATGTAAATTCTTGTGTGGTTCATTTCACTTTGCCTTGTAGAAGTGACAGAATAGAGAAATGACAGTATTTGTCAATGTTTGCACTTATTTAGAAAATGATATGTATGCACACAAATAAATAAGTATTGACGCAATGATGTGAAAAAAATGATTGCATTACAGTAAATGAAAATTTCATCAAGTACTCACCTTTATGTCATTCTAAACTTTGAACACAAAAGAAGACCAGGATAAATCCTCAGAGAGTTCTATTTATCCATTTCAAGCCTTTAATGCTTTAAAAAGTTCACAAATACATGAAACTAGCAGTTTAATCCAAATCTTCTGAAAAGACACAATCATTTTAAATGATAACAGATGTAATTTACTTTCATCCATTTATAAACATTGATTAATCAATGCACGTTAAAGATGGTAAACGGAAGATCAAACATTCTTGCTTTAATGCGCAAAAACAAACATTAGTTCTCAAACCTCAAGCAAGCATGTTTGAGCTTTAAATTTTGGACGAACTTTGAGTGATCACATGCAACTCTTTTGATTCTATAGGGATGTAGTTCAAGAACTGGAACGTCTAAGCTTCATAAACTCAGACGTTGGTCGCTGCAGAGCATGGGTTCGCCTGGCTCTAAATGACGGGCTTCTGGAGTGTTACCTGACCTCACTGCTTCGCGAGGGGTCCAAATTGGGCTCCTACTACCAGCCCGGGGCTCTTCTGCTGGACCCGGAGGATCGCGAGGTTCTTCTCACCCTGCTGCAGGGTTTGGCCTCGATGACCTTCCAGCTCTCCTATAAATCAGCTGTGCTGAATGAGTGGACCAACACACCACTGGTCCTCGCAGGCCTTTGCCCCCTCACGCCTGCCGACGAGCACCTTCTGAGCCCCAAGCGCAAGGAGTCTTGGGATACAGTCTCACAGTCATCTGGAGGGTCCGGAAGCTCAGATTGGGCTCAGGAAGCGATTCAGAGGGAGTCGAGGAAAGAGCAAAACGAGGGTTGTGAAACGAGCACTCCGCTTACCTCATCAAACCTCAGTCTGAATACGTCAGGATCGCCACAGCTGTCCTCCAGCCTGAGCTCTGATAGTCTGCTTCAGGGTCAGGAGCCCAGGAGTCCTGAAAAGGAACGCTGGAGTTGTGACATGGAAATCAGCCTCAAAGCACAACAGAACACCGTTACAGAGTGAGTAAAAGTTAGTCTATTTTGTTAAAGGACAAATTCGGTATTTTACAATTAAAGCCCTGTTTTAAGATCGTTTCTGATGAAAAGGAATGGTTAAGATTGTTTTTTAGACAGATGATGCTGTCCCGAGAATTTTTAGTTTCTGTGTTGGCACCCCCCTACCTTCACAATGGTTGCATAGGTGCACAGGAACAATCCTTTATAAAACGCATAGAAACTGTAGTTTACAAAGATGTGAAACTCACTGAGTGGTCTGGGGTGTTCACTGATATGCTCACACAAAAATCGCTGCAAAAGATGCTTTCCAACAGGTTTTATCGTTGTTTTTGTCCAACTCCATTGACTGTATTGTATGTTTTGTGATGTACGGTATTACTCCGTCGCCGGAAACGGAAATGAGATTGTTTGTATTCTTTCTGTAGTCTTACGCAGTCACGGTATCGTAGGATACACTATACAAGCTATACAAGGGGGTAATCCATCGACCGGAAGTTGAAGCCTCGCGGGAGCTGCCATCTTGTAGCAGAACTTCACTTACGTTAGCATTCCCATTGACTCCCATTCATTTTGGCGTCACTTTGACGTCACTTATGTTATGGCCCTGTAGAAGCAGTTTTAGTGAAAGTAGGCTAACGATTGCGTCATACTCTCTGACTCTGACTCTCTGTCGCACAGTAGAGAGATTACCGTATGGACATGAGAAGAAGCTCGCGCACAATCGGGGAAACGTGGAGACAAAATGACAAAATAATTAACGAGAACACCTAGCAAAATTGTCTCCTTCTCCTAGCTCATGGACAGCTCTTATTCACACTCTCCGCCTCTGCATGTTTCGGAAGGGAATGATTCAGATTTCTCATGCCACAGCACTAGAAGACAGACGGGTCACTCACGTCACATCTACGTCGTCAAGCTCTGTTTGAGTCTGCGCATCAGGGACGGAAGTGCTAAAAAATCGCCAAAAACGGGCTTCAATCGTCTCAATGGAGTTCCAATGAGATCGCTCTGTCCATTTCTTTTACTGTCTATGTATACAAGTGGTTTGTTTGCAATTGGCAAAGGTGCATTATCGCCACCAACTGGGCTGGAGTGTCTATTATTCAAGCTCTAACGGAAGAATGTACGGTTGTGAGGCGTTCGTAAAAATAAGTCTTTAGTTTTAACGAATGGTAAAACACCTGTTGGAAAGCATCTTTTTCAGTGATTTTTGTGTGAGCATATCGATGAACACCCCAGACCACTTGTGAGTTTCACGTCTTTGTAAACTAAAGTTTTTATGCGTTTTATAAAGGATTGTTCCTGTGCACCTATGCTACCATTGTAGAGGTGTGGGGGTGCTACCACAGAATCCGAAAATTCTCGGGACAGCATCATCTGTCTAAAAACAATCTTAACCATTCTATTTAATCAGAAACGATCTTAAAACAAGGCTTTAATTGTAAAATACCGAACTTGTCCTTTAAGTCTTGCGACATGTCCCAACCAAGCGCAATAAAGTGTCAATTGATAAATCAACTTGTTTTTTGTTGCGATTTTTTTTTTTTTTTTTTGATTTTTTTTTTTCTCTTCCTGTTGTGACGTGCATCCAAATGAAATGCTTCTTGAATAAGATTTTGGCCATTCGGAATTGATTGGATGGTTGGATTTTTGTGGTCTGCTCTTGGTCGATCTCATGTGAGTGGCGGGTTGTTCCGCCCTTGCGCCAGTAAACACATCATCAGAGAAGAGATGTTTCTGCAAGAGGGAGGGAAAGTTCATATGATTAAAGATTACAAGGCACATGAATTTAATAAATCATTTATAATCAATACTGCTGGGTTGGGTAACTTAATTATAATTGGTCTGAGTAATCAATCAACTATTTGGCCATATAATGCAATGATTCAGGGTAATATCTAGCAATATACCAAACCCTGCTTAGTTGCTTTAAGTAGGCTTTCCTTTTCAAACACTCCATAACTATATATATATATATATATATATATATATATATATATATATATATATTTAGGGGTTTCACAAACTGATTTTTGCTAGTCGACTAGTTTTGCATAACAGTCGACGACTAGTCGTTAAATGGTTTATTCTAGGGGTGTGCAACAACACGAATAGTAAATGTCTCCACGATCTGCTTTTGAAGAAATATGGTAGTAGTATCGTGTTACAGTGCATTCTATCAGTTCTGGCGCCTCTCAACTGTACAACGCGACGTAGCCTACACATCACACGTTAAGGAATAGGTACGGGACACTGCAATTCACAAAAGTTCATTGTTTGCATAAGCCTTGCCTGTTAAACATTTAATTCACGCGCTGTTCTAACGTGCGCTTTCCTGAGCGCGCGGCATATCCCCGACGCTCACATGCACTAGAAGCCTGTCAAACAGCGCCTGAATACTGGACTAAAGTTATCTTTCAAGTCTTATTATGCTAATACTGTTAAATACACACAATGTTTACATAAACAGAATTGGCTATGTTTAAGTGCAGCCTCCTCATATAGAAAGTGAAAGCAAACATTTGAGAGAAAATCTGGTGTAGGCTAATATGCGTCTATATTAAACACGTCGCGTGCTGGTCTAAAAGCGAGAGTAGTACTCGTATTTCCCGCACTATAAAGCGCACTTAAAAGCCTTTAATTTTCTCAATCCGGCCTTTTCTCAAGCTTTACAATCCGGAGCGCATTATATATGCATCAATTTGTCAAACGGCCAGTTCAACCTCGTATAAAATATCTCCCGCTCACGAGCGCTCTCTCCACACACACACGAACAGACACTGCTGTCAGCAGGCTACGAATGTAAGTTACGTGCCCGCCCCAGCGCGCTCACGCTTACTAAACGCCTCACCTCCGACGCTGCGCACTCGCTGCATTCCCAGCACATCTAGTGGATGCATAATGCAAACCCAGTCAAACGTTTGAAAAATGTTCTAAAATAGGTCATTGAAGGTGCGCCTTATAGTGCTTATAGTATATAGTACTGCCGCTTGTATTTAAAGGGATAGTTAACAAAAAAATATATGTCATCATTTTGTTTCCGACTAGTCGACTAAGGCCAACAGCGCCAACTAGTGGTTGTGACAGTCGACTAGTCGACTAGTTGATGAAACCCCTAATATATATATCAAAACTAAATAGTCAACTTCTCTAATTGACCTGTTAGGTGTTGGTCAACTAGTTGGCCAGCAAACCACCTGCGACCATCAACAACATCATGCTATAAGACATTGTGTCAGTTGCTTGGTTTTTATTTTCATGACCATTAAAAATCCTTTCCTGAGCTGTGTATTATTAAGAATGACATATGTACTGATTGACTGGGATTTTGTCACTTGATGCTGTATTTCACTGACACTGAGTTCAGAAAATTTGCCTCCATGTTTTGAAAGTTGTTGCAAAGGTTATTGTTAGGATAAATGTTCCTAAATGAAATGCCAGAAAAATTATTTGAAAGAAGTAGTTGTGTTGTCTGAAGTCCTATTTAACATACTTATTTTTTTATAGAGATAACAACTCCTCTAGTCAGGATTTGAAGAAGGAAGACTTTGATGCGTTCATGCCAGCTCCAGATATTCAGCTCCAGAGTGACTCTGCCAAACATGCCGTTGATGGAAAAACGCACATGGACACGGACACGCATCTATCGGATGCACACATCACAGAGGGATCTAAAGCATGCTCAGAAAAAATATCAGCTGAAGCGTTACTGGAGACAAAAGAAGGAACAACAGAAGAATCCGAGATTCTAGTTAAAAGCACAAGACTAAAAGTTAAACACGCAGTCACTGAGACTCAAGAAAGGGAGCAGAAGAGACAGAACAGAGTCTCGTCTGTTGAGTTCCCTTCAGTTTCTTCTGTTGAGAAGACCTCTGACCTCAGTAAAGACCCTGACACTGTTCTTCCTGAGACCTCTGCTGTCCCTAATGCAGTAGAACAATCAAGAAATGCTGTATGCAGACGTACCGCAAGTACCGTCAGCAGGAAAATATCATCTGACTCTCTGTATTCCTCTTGTGTGAGTGTTTTCTACAAATCATATCCTCTATATAATATAATAGTAATGTTAATGTACCAACTTACAATGTATAATTGCAGCATTAATTGATATTGGTTTCCTTAAAGGGATACTCCACCGGGTTTTCATATTAAACTATGTTATTCCCTTAATTAAGACGAGCTGATGCATACCTCTCTCGTCTCAGTGCGTGCACTCTATCGCTCTGTATTGCCGCAAAACTATGTTAGCACTTAGCTTAGCCCAGTGCATTAAATATGGGCCAAAAAGAGAAGTGACAAAACACTTCCTCGTTTTCCCTATTTAAACACAGTTACTCGATTAGTGTAACTCGACCTAGGCTGGTGACACAAAATAAAACGTTGTGTTTTTCTAAGCATTTAAAATTGATGACTATATTGTATGGTGGAATACCATAAAAAAAGTGCTTTAGAGCACTTCAACTTGGCGCAATAATACCTTCACTCGTGAAAAGTCCTCTTACCGGCTCCCGCTTTGTCGCATGTCACGTTGGCTGCATTGACGAAAATAAGAGGAAGCGGGAGCCGGTAAGAGGACTTTTCACGAGTGAAGGTATTATTGCGCCAAGTTGAAGTGCTCTAAAGCACTTTTTTATGGTATTCCGCCATACAATATAGTCATCAATTTTAAATGCTTAGAAAAACTAGGGCTGTGCAAAAGTTAATTGCGATTAATCGCATCCAAAATAAAAGTCTGTGTTTACATATATATTTGTGTGTGCTGTATATAATTATTTTGTATATATAAATACACACACATGCATGTATATGTTTAAGAAAATGTGTTATTCCTATATAAAATATTTATATTTATATAATATAGATTATGTATTTATATATATATACAGAATTTAAGAGCAAATAATTCTTAAATATATGCATGCATGCATAGGTATTTATATATACAAAATAATTATATACAGCACACACAAATATATTATGTAAAACAGACTTTTATTTTGGATGCGATTAATCGCAATTAACTTTTGCACAGCCCTAAGAAAAACACAACGTTTTATTTTGTGTCACCAGCCTAGGTCGAGTTACACTAATCGAGTAACTGTGTTTAAATAGGGAAAACGAGGAAGTGTTTTGTCACTTTTCTTTTTGGCCCATATTTAATGCACTGGGCTAAGCTAAGCGCTAACATAGTTTTGCGGCAATGGGCTATATGCACGCATAAGTTCCGCATTTGACGCAAGGATGCTCGTCCATTTCCGGTTGTGGAGATTTAAGCGGAGGAGAACCGAGGAAAACGGGATTATGGCAGAGTCTTCAAAATTTACTGTCCTCCCGTCATTGAAACGAAACGTACATACGTTTAGATGTAATTTTATATATAGTTATGTTTACTTAATATAATTTTAAAAAGAAGCATAAACACAACGAGGGGTGTGTGTTTTATCTGTTTTTGTGACTAACGTTTCGTTAGTATAACCATGGAGTATAAAATTCAATATAAATTCTCGGTATTGCATTGGACTCTACGATCGGCGGAAGTTATCGAGCATCCCTAATGCTTCACCGGAAATACCGCCGTGCATAGAGCCCATACAGAGCGATAGAGTGCACTCACTGATACGAGAGAGGTATGCATCAGCTCGTCTTAGTTAAGGGAATAACATAGTTTAATATGAAAACCCGGTGGAGTATCCCTTTAAGAACAATTGATTTGTACTGTATCTGATGTATATCCAAAAGAAATTGAATCTGATCGAATCAAAAGCTTGTGAATCATGATTGATTTGTGAAATCAATATTCATGTCAATATCGAGCCCTATTTGACCCTGAGGGTTTGATGCCAATAAGAGATGTAAAATGGTCTCTTAAAATGTGTTTGTCTCTCAGAAATCCACATCTTGGATATCAGAGGATGACTTTTACAAGCCAGAAGAAACGGGCAGTTCTGAAGCATATGCCGTCATTGACATCACGCAAATGAACGAGCAGGTGACGCCCACCTCTGAACCGGACACCCTCCAGCCACCACCAAGCGTAGTGCACCGGAGACAGAACGGTAAGATGGATAAAACTGGAGTTTGCTTACGACAAATTCTTGCAAAAAAAATACTGTCTATTTTCTTTTCTTGGATTTTTTTTAACTATTTCCTCCAGTAAATAATGACCGTAAAAAACTTAATGAAGTAATAATGAAGTAAAAAAACCAGGCTGCATTTATTTGATTTAAAAAAAAATATATATATATATATATTTTACATTTAATTTATTCCTGTGTTTATGCTGAATTTTTAGCATCATTACTCCAGTCTTCAGTGTCACATGATCAACATCAGTTGAGGGCTGCAACTTTACTTTTTAAATGACAATATCCTGGCCGGACTACTGTTGTCAGTGATATAAGTATTTGAAATGAACATAATTTCTTATTTCATAATGTCTAGTGACATATAATTTTATGTCATTATATGAATTTTATTGTCATCAAAGAATCCTGAAATAAAAATGTAAATAACTGTTTGTCAACATTGATAATAATGCGAAATGTTTCTTGAGCTTCAAATCATCATATTAGAATGATTTCTGAAGAATCGTCTGACACTACAAATAATGTAGAAATGGTGGATGTGTGAATGAGATCGTCTGTGTGTCTCTCTCAGGTCTTCCTAACCCGTTCAGGGGTTTGCTGAAGCTGGGTCAGCTGGAGCGCCGCAGTGCGGTGGGCATGTGGTGGGATTACTACTGCGAGCTCTCTCCGTTTGAGTTACGGCTTTACGTCAATGCTGAGGAGCGCATCTGCAATGAAAACCTGTCCCTGCTGCGCTGCGAAGACGTCCACCTGTCCTCCGGCTCCGAGGGCCGTTTTCGGCTCTCCTTCCCAAGCAAAAGAATCTACCTGCGGGCACCGTCTCGAGGGGAGGCTGAAGACTGGGTCGATCGGATCATGGAGGCCATCAGCAAACTACGTCCCATGCCGAGAGACGAACAGTGGGAGGTGCTGCATGCGTCCACGCCGTCCAGTGATCAGGAAATCCCCTCGCCAGCACCCTCAAGCCCTGAAAGTACCATCTCAGAACTTCCAGATGCCCCTCAGTTAGATTGGACCCGTCATAAGGACCCAGACCTAGATGCCATAAAGGAAGCGGTGGTCTATCAGAACTTGGAGAAGGGTTGGCGGCCCCTTGTGCTTTCGCTCTCCCTGGAGACCCTCAAAGGTTACCAGGTCCAAGATGACACCAAGACACCCCTTTTCTCGTACTCCATTGGTAAGATCAGGGATGTGGTTCCAGATGTTTCATTAGGTAGTCCTGCGTTTTTTAAGATTCTGACTGCGCGGGACATACTGACACTGAGGGCAGAGAGCGGCGAGGAAGCCCAGGGATGGAGAAGTCTGATCAGAGGAGCGCTCGACTCGTATCTGGAGACGGATGATGATGGAGCGCTTCCGGGTGTCTCGTCGCCCCTCGGCGTCCACAAACTGGTTCAACACAGACTGAAGGGAGACGGGGAGCTGCTGTCTCACTTGTCCGAGGTCCCTAAGGAAAGAGGACTAGATGCGCAAAATTACAAATGTGCAGGTATGAGTGGATGGCATGATGACCTTTTTATCTGTAAATTATTTAGAATTAGAATCAAATGAAATTCATTGACAATGACTAGGGATGGGACGATAACCGGTTTCACTATAAACCGTGATAAAATGTACTGACGGTTAGTATTATCGTTTAAAATTTAATTATCAGTTATTATTAGTTTGATTATCGCGATTTTAATAACTCACTGAATCCTGTCGGCCAGTCTGACGCAGGCGCGCAGCACGCAATATTTTTTTCAATTGCTATTCGAGAAGGAATGACGGAAGGCAGTGACCGTGCTCAGGAGGTTTTTCAGCCTTTTAAGAGTACCAAATCTGAGGTGTGGTCATATTTTGGGTTTTACAAAAGTCCTGAGGGAAACTTGATTGAGGATGGTCACCCTGTCTGCCGAACAAAAAGTCACTGCAATAGAAACACTTCAAATCTGCCGAGTCGTCTTGTGTGATCATCACCCGAACGCAAGGGAAGCAAGTTAACTTTGACCTTAATACCAAAACTACGTCTGGGAAACAATTGGGCACGAAATGTTGTTTTGAGTTGAAACATTTTATGTCACTCACTTGAAATAGACGTGAAGCTTCCGCGAAGAAAAGTTCGTAGCAAGTGGATTTGAGCCAAAGACGAACGAACAACTTCAAACAAGACTAAGAGTGATATTTTAAGGGATAGTAAAGTATAGATACAAGACGGCAAGTTGTATTTGAATGAAACAAGAGGGCGCGTCCGCCGTCCGTTGTGATATGGATGTGCGCTGTGTAATAATGCGTTGCTATTGACGACGGGCATTATAAAGAAGCAAATGCCATGGAATAGAATCTTGCTTAAAAAAAACTGCATAGAGAGGCTTGTTTTATTTGTTGTTTGTTGATTTTCAATTATAAAACTTGTTGAAATGTTTTCAGTGTGAGCATCAGTTCTTTTTGAGCACTTTCATACATTTTTAACAAAACCGTGATAATATTGATAATCACGATTATTTTGGACACTATAATCGTGATATGAAATTTTCATACCGTCCCATCCCTAACAATGACTTTAACTGTTTGGCTTTATTAAATATAACAAAGGTATAATTATTTTGTTTTTTACTTTATTGTTATTACCTGAAATTAAAAGCATCAAAGTAGCTACATTTATCATTCATATTTGAGGAAAATATTTATCCAATCAAGTTAGTATGGTTTAACATGCAGGAAGACACTTTGTTGTCATGTGACACCTTAGAAAACCATTAAACAGGAAATGATACCACAAAGTAGACTCTAGTATGTAAACTCTAGTAACTGTCATTTTTAGATTTGGGGTTGGTGAGATTTTTTGAAAGAAGTTTTTTATCATTTAACATTTATTTGTTAAAAAATCTATATATTTACAATCTAAAATAAGTTTTATATTTTAATATTTTTTTTCAAATGTCATGTATTCCTTGCGATCAAAGCTGAATTTTCAGCATCATTACTCCAGTCTTCAGTGTCACGTGATCCTTCAGAATTCATTCTAATATGATGATTTTCTGTTCAAGAAGCATTTCTTATTATTATTAATAACGTGGGTGAAAAAAATGGATTATTTGATGAATAGAAAGTTTAAAAGAAAAGCATTTATTTGAAATCTTAATGTCTTAACTGTTACTTTTGATCAATTTGTCCTTTCTGAATACAAATATTATTCTTTTATTGTTTAAATCTTACCTAAAGTGTATATATCAGATATTTAAATCTTTTTTGATAGCTAAGGCAAGGTTACTTCAGACTTTTACATTTCAAATGTAGTATTCATAGTGATAGACAACATGATATTCATGATTTAATTTAATCATTGTGTGGAGAAATGTTTAATTTTACTTAGTTACCGCGTGACATTTTTCTATACATTTGACCGAAACGTATGAAACCAACAAGAATGCAGAAACGAGCCGTTAGCCACATGTTTCTTTCCTTTGTGAGACTGAGGACAGGAGTCCCTTATGTCGATATTGAAGTGTTTTTCAATGTACCACTGTAAGTAAAAGCTCTTGTAAACGTGTGCCCAGGTTGCCCTCGGCAGATCGGCGTGTCTTTCGGGAGAGCCAGACTCTGTGAGTTCTCAGGCCGGTACTACTGTGATTCCTGTCACCAAGGAGACGCAACAATCATCCCCTCCCGCATGGTGCACAACTGGGACCTAACAACACGCGAGGTGAGCACAAACTACTTAATTTCAATTATTTACAATTTTTGTTTGTTTTTACAATAGATTTTTTATTAACATTCACTTCCTGTAGTTCACGTTTTTATTGTCATATTTTTACAGCTATTAAATTAATAATCCAATCAATAAAGTATTTTTCTTTCATTTGATAAAATTCACATGAAACGGAAAAGGGTAACACATTACAATTAAGGTTCCATACATTAACTAACAATGAGTAATACATTTGTTACAGTATTCCTTAGTCTTTGTCAACATAAGTTAATAAAAATACAACCGTTCATTGTTTGTTCATGTCAGCTCAGGTCCATTAAAATGATTAGTATTTTAATAATGTATTAGTAAATGCTGAAATTAATGTCAGCGAAAATTAATAAAGGCTTTAGAAGTATTTTCACTGATAGTTAATGTTAATATAGTTATTGTTTAGTGTCACCTTATTATAAAGTGTCACCGTGATATGCTGATTTATACACACCTGTTCCTTAGTTTGGGGTCAGTATGATTTTTTTATTATTACTTTTATTCATCAAGGACAAATTAAATTGAACAAAAAATACATTTATAATGTTACAAAATATTTATATTTCAAATAAATGCGGTTTTTGAACTTTCTATTCATAAAAGAAACCTGAAATATATATCACTCTTTCCACAAAAATGGCAGAAAAAACTATTTTCAACATTGATATTATTTTTATTTTTATTATTAAGAAGAAGAAATGTTACCTGAGCAGCAAATCAGCGTATTAAAATGATTTCTGAAGGATCATGTGACACTGAAGACTGGAGTAACTATTCAGCTTTCATCACAGGATTAATTAAAAAATGTCAATATATTCAAACTATTTTAATCAGTTATTAAATGTTTTTACACTATATATTGTAGAAATAAAACACTTTATACCCAATCAATGCTCGAATCAATGATCAGCATTAAAAAAGCCCCATTCTTACAGATCATGAACTAAAAAAACGTTGGTTTAGGGTTTAGTTACCCTTTAAATTGTACTGAACCCAAACTTTTGAACGGTGGCGTGTTCAGTATACGGAAATAATTATGATTTGATTCTAAGGCAGTATTATTATTCAGCTTTAGGGCTGCAACAACTAATCGATAAAATCGATTATAATCGATTATGAAAATCGTTGTCAACGAATGTCATTATCGATTAGTTGGTCTGATTACGTCACGGGGATTGTTTACATGCTACATGCGCTTCTTACATCCGCTTCATGAGGCACACACGCAGTCTCTCTCCCTCGCCGCTCTACCCTGTCTCGCACGCGCAACACCGACTGTTTGAACGGAGCACATTATCTTCTGTCTCGCGCGCGCAACACGGACGGTTTGGAGCACATATATCTTCTGTCTCGCATGCGCGCTCTTGATTCCGTGAGTTTGAACTAATTTGCGGGCATCAGGAAACCGCTATCAATATGCAGCATACACGAAAATCATTCACCTTTCGGCAAATTCGCCGTTTTGAAACCAAAATAGGTGACCTACGTTAATCTTGTATACTTTATGAAGCCATACTATAGTATAATGTGAGATAGAAATGTATATTTAAGTAATTAAATTAAATTAAGCTTTTCCCTCCACTGCGGCTGTCAGTCATTCTCTATTCGGTGTTCAAACAGCTCGTCGCGTTCGGTTACAACAGTTAACATGATGAAACTCTTTCCAAGATGATTCAATGTTATTATTATAATTGATCCGTAGATAAAGGTCTATGTTTTCGTAATATAATGACTATCTTGCTAGACTTTTTATTGCTGTAACTTAATCACTTTCTACTGAGTGTCTGTTAGATCACAACACTAGAGTAGACTCGGCGCACTATAATTGTTCTTCACGTGCACAGCAGCCTAACTGAAATTTAAAACTGTTAAAAGAAAAGGCTTAATAAACTATTGCAAAGATACTGTATAATACACAGTCAATATGTCTTTCTCTTTCTTTGGTGCTTTTAACTTTAATGCGCCGGACACTAAAGAGCTGCGCGCCGCCCTGTGACTCAGTGTTGCTTCAAGCGCATCATTCAGCGCTCCGCGATGCGCATACGCACTTTGTGCAGCTCTTTCATGATCATGTCATAATACTTTTGCGCAATAAAAGCTTATTAATAGCCTTTCTTGTTCTGTCCTATCTATTATATTTTGCTTCCTCACTAAACAGCTGTGCTTACATTTAAAACAGCTGTGCATCTGATTTTTACGATGTTTTTTCATGAATGTAACAACAATACAAAGAGCAATGTGCAACGTTTTACCAGAGTTAGTGCTACACTTATTGTCTCTTATTTGTTTCCCACTAAGGAATGTTTTTTTCACTAAATGTTCAGATTTTATAAAATTATTGTGCACTTGTGATATTTTTAGGCTAAGTTTTTCTGAGTTATCCACTAATCTAGTTTACAATAGCATTTTTGTCATAGGTTATGGTCATATATATTTTTTTTTATTTGTTGTTTTTCTTTATAATGAAGTTGTCTGTATTAAGTAGATTGTTTAACACACAAAATAGTGTGCTTTTTAGGGTTTTAGGGTTTTATTTAGTTATAATAAACAAAAAAATGAAATAAATTTTTTATCCGATTAATCGATTAATCGAAAAATAATCGTCCGATTAATCGATTATCAAAATAATCGTTAGTTGCAGCCCTATTCAGCTTGCAATAATATATTACATGTCAGATTACATGAGATTAGGAAAAGCGGCCTTCTCTCTCCTGTTCTTATTTGTCAGTCTTTATGTCCTTCAGCTGTGTGACTGTGCATGTCTATATGTTCAGGTCTCAAGACAAGCCTTAAAGTTGCTGACTCAAATAGAGCACGAGCCGCTTCTGAACCTTGATGTTTTGAATCCTGACCTGTTTGATCACACTGACACTGTGGCTAAAGTGCAAACCCTGAGGCAGAGACTTCGTTTCCTCGGAGACTACCTCCTCATCTGCCGCAGCGGGATCAGCAAACATGTCCAACCCAGGTGTGTTTGTGTGTGTTCTTAGATGCTGCAGGTTTATAATTTGCACACCATTAAATCTTTAATAGATGTTTGCAACAGATACGTAACAAGTTTTTTTGGTTTTTTTCCAGACTCCAGCAGAGGACTTATTTATTGGATAACAGTGATGTATACAGTGTATTGGACTTGCAGCAGGTATTTATTCAGTAAAAAAATTATCAAGAAAAACTTGTTAATTGGTAAACTTTGCCTTAGAGGGTGTGATTGGATAACTGGACTAAAATCGCATCGCACAGCATCTCAAATGTTGGTTTGGTCATTTGGTCATCAAAATGGTCGACTATATTTACCTCCCAGAACTGTCTCGCACGATTATGTTTTCTAACACCATGCATACGAATGCTAGAGAACATGACAGCATTAATTGCGTTTCGTCTGCAAGTCATTTATGATGCCACAGTGGCTTTCCCGATTGCAGAAACTTCCATTTTTATTACAGATATTTTGTGCAATCTTCTCAGTAAGTGATGATTTTATTTTCTTAAATGCATGAAATTGAAACAGACCTTTAATTTTGTGTGATATTACACTTTTTATTTTATATATCATTTCTTTTAAATGTATTAGTTTTAGTGGGCAGATATTGCCTCATAGCACAAAATATCAAAAGCTTCAGGCTTAAAATGGGCTTAAACCAGCCAAGGTACCAGCACAAATACACTCAGAAAAATATTTAATTATCACAATCAACGAAATCCCAGAAAACAAATTATATATATATATATATATATATACTGTATATATATTTTTTTTATTTATTTATTTATTTTTTATTTATTATTATTATTATTTTTTTTTTTTTTTCAATATTTCCAATACCTTACTTTACATGATCAGACTTGTATTTTTTTGCACACAGATAGCAGACGGGCACTATGAATCTTACCTGCAGTCTCTGATTGAGTTCGGGTCCAAGCACGTGCACAACTGTGACCTTTGCACCCAGAGGGGCTTTATATGTCAGATCTGCAACTCTGACAACATCATCTTCCCGTTTCAGTTTGACAGCACCTCCAGGTATTGTCATTTAACACACATTATACCGCAAATATATAAAAGTCCCAGAAAAATGTCCATCCTGCTTACTCAACATAAATGAAAACTAGCCTAATTATTTTCTACGTCAAATCAGTTTTCATTTAGATGATTTTAGCTTGACTAGTTTACGGCCACGTGCATACAATAAAGTTTCAGGGGTGACATCTAACCGGAACTGTGACGATTATTTTAGCAGTGTTGCCATGTCCACTTATTATAAGCTTTTTGGGGCTTGTTGTTTAAGCTTCTCTCACAGAGTGATCAGGTATTTATTAAAGAGGGCAGTTGCAGGTTGCAATATTTTGGTCTTATTTTCAGCTTAAAGCATTCTGGGTTTATTTTGGTTTATTATTGGGTTTCACTTTATTTGGATGGTCCCTTTAACACATTCAGTTTACTATAAGTAACGTTGTACCTAAATCTCTACTAACTCTCACTAGAGTGTTAGTAGAGTATTAGTAGACTGGTAGGGTTAGGGTTAGAATAAGTTGGCATGTAGTTGCAAAGTTACTTATAGTCAGTAGATTGTCTGTTGGAGGAGCATCACAATAAAGATTTGGCAAATATTAAGCTGACAGTCTACTAATACTCTAATGAGAGTTAGTTGATATGTAGTTGAAAAGTTACTTATAGTCAACAGAATGTTCAAAAAGGACCATCAAAATAAAGTGTTACCTATTATTGTTTGCTTTTTATTTCAAGCAAGATCTAGCAACACAAATGAGTAAAGGCTTGTAGGCTACATCTTTTACTGTGATTTCTTGCATCACACAAGGTACAGAAGAGAGACAAAACTCTGATGTGCGTTTTTATACATCATTTAAGGGATACTCCACTTTTTTTTGGAAATAGGCTCATTTTACAACTCCCCCAGAGTTAAACAGTTGTAGTAGTAGTATATGTAGTAGCATATAACAATATTATATGAAGTCAATGGGACCAGAAACTGTCTGGTAACTGATATTCTTCTAAATATCAGAAATTCGGCTGGATGGATTCGAAAACGGTAAAACTCAACTGTTTAACTCTGGCGGAGTTGTAAAATGAGCCTATTTCCAAAAAAGTGGAGTACTAGTTGGTCATTTTGGATCTGTACACACTGTAGAAATTTTGCAAATGTGGTTGTCACTACCTTAATATATCAGGAGTTAATTTAGTTGTAGAATGTAGCTCTCACTCCCATAAATTACTGTGTTTAGAAAGGGGTGACGTCACTGACGTGGTTTAATAAAGGGGGTTTTGTTCTTTTGAAATACGAAAAAAAAAAATCATTGAACTTTGCATACACTGTAAAAATGAATAGGACTGAATATGTTAATCTAATCAATAAAATTGAGGCAACAGTTTACAATCAATATTATTAATTAAATTTAACAAATTAGAACTGAGTAATAATTAACCAAACAAATTACTTAAAATTTAACCATTTAAAATGAGTAAAAGTTACAGATTTTTCTCAACAAAAATATCGGAATAACAGACTGACGTCAAAGATGAATTAAGAACTCTTTTTTTTTTTATTGTCATCATTGAAGACACCTGACGATAACAAGCAGAATCACTGAAGAAGAAAACCGTGATTTTTAAGTCACCATTATAGAGATCAGTGTGTGTTTTAGTTTGGCTCTTGGCCCTTAAATTGTTAACTTTAGATGTTGTTTGGCTGTTATACGCGAATTATAATAGCCAGATTAACAAATAGAACAGGTGATCTGATGGTCTTGGTTGTGTTTTAACATAATCAATATTTTACAATCATTTGACCTGAATCACTGAACTCATACTGTGCCCAGTTTCTGACTTAGGTTTATTTTATTAATTATAGCATCATTGGCCTTGGACAGCATCGTATTTTTAGCATTTTCAATGAAACCAAATGATCAAAACCAAAAATTATTTTATGGAGGCACACACAGACATCAAGAATTAGCATATGAATCTCAGCAATGGTGACAAACAGATCACCTCTGATCAGCAATGTATGATGGGAGCCATAAATGAGTTTTGATTGGTGGCACCCAGAATGCACTGTCACCGTTGTTGAGATTCACTGGCTAATTCTAGATCTCTGTGTGTCTAAACTAAATCAAAACAAAAACTTTTTTTTATTGTATTTGAGACAAGTAAAAAAAAAATCTATGGATTACCTTGTAAAATCATAAAAATATTATACTGTACAAGGGCAGTGCTGATATAATCAATTAAGTAAACCTAGACTGGACTAAATATGAGTTCATTGATTCAGGTCAAAAGATTTTGAAATATTGATTGTATTTAGACACAACCAACACCATCAAATCACCTTTTCTATTTGTTCATCTGGCTATTATAATTCACGTATAACAGCCAAACAACATCTAAAGTTAACAATTTAAGGGTCAAGAGCCCAACTAAAACACACACTGATCTCTATAATGGTGACTTAAAAATCACGGTTTTCTTCTTCAGTGATTCTGTTTTTGTTTAGAAAAATGTGTAAATTTTAATCATTTTAAATGGTTGACTTTAAAGTAATTCGTTTGGTTAATTATTACTCAATTCTGATTTGTTAAATTTAATTACTAATATTGATTGTAATCTGTTGCCTCAATTTTATTGATTAGATTTAACCGATTCAGTCGTATTCATTTTTACAGTGTATGCAGTGGCGCAAAAAGTGGGTATGCGCTATATGCGGCGCATAGGGGCGCAGCACAATGGGGGGCGCCAAAGCGATGGTAAAAAAAAAAAAAAAAAATTATATATAGGCTATAACGGCAGCTATTTCTATATGTAGCTGCCGTTGTGCGTTTCTAAATCATTTCTGCATTCCTTCAATGTTATATAAAATTTTAGAGGACTAACAGCCAGGCTAGAGTAGGCGCCCTCATGGAGAAGGGGGGCGGGTAATATCGCGAGCGGGCGGGGGCGCCGTGAGCGCTGAGCGAGCAGGTACTAGTAGTTAGTTGTCGTCGAAAAAGATGGATAAAACAAAATGCTGTGGTGCTCAAAATAGAAAAAGAAAGAGAGAAAAGGAGATGGCATGTCAATTGATGCGACAGCAGCTAAATAACTGCATGCATTGCTGAAATCCAACAGGTAGGATTTAAAATGTGACATCCAGGCATGGCTATCTATATCTCTATCTCGGTGGCCATCGGGACTACCGGGAGATTCCCGCTGGGCCGACGTGCTTTTCAGACAATACATTTCATCCTTTTTTAATTTATTAAAAACCGCTTTAGTTTTTTTTTTCTGACACACTGGCCCATGAAATATGTCATTATGCGCAAGTATCTTTCAAGTATAGAAATTAGTGCAAAACTAATTATGAAAGTTTCCTTTATTTTTCTGTGCATTTGTTTTACAATAGCCTTTATGGCAATTACTATCATGGGATTAATATAATAACTATTATTTTGTAGTAGTGTAATTTAGACAGACACTAACTAAAAGAGGATCAAATTTTTCTCTGTTTAATTTGCACCCTGAATATGGGTTGGAGCTTTTAATTTTGAACTCTCAAAGTGCACTAGTCTGCTGAATTTAACATTACAGAACACAAAATGTTCTTACGGGGGAGCATGCCCCCGAACCCCCCTAGAGAAACAGAGGTCCACCTACCACAGTTTTACCTAAAATCCTGTGAGAAACACTGGTATTGCTGTTACAATGGAGCTTATAGTTTTCTTAGGGGGGGTTTATCAAGGTGGAGTAGCTATAGTTTAATTGTGTTAATAAACGACAATTTTGCACTTATTTTTTTCTGTTAGCTCTCATTTCTTCCTATTCACTTATTACACAGCACACTTACATTACATTTATTTTATTTATTTATTTATTTATTTATTTATTTTTTTTTTTTTGGGGGGGGGCGCTAAAATTGTTGCTGCATACCCCTCTGAAACTGGGTAGTTGCGCCCCTGAGTGTATGATAATGCACAATGAGCCCATTTTGTGACATTTCTCAGCCGCCACAGAGTTAAATTCTAAAAAGTGGACATACGGCCTTGAAATATGATGCACTGCCCCGACGAATGCCAAATTTGAAGCGCTTTTTACTGTATCAGCCTTTTTAAATGGACACGAGGCTGTAATATTAGAAGTATACAATACTGCTCTATGGAAAACCAAATTTAGAGCAAGTAGATCTTTATTAAATCATGTGTATCCATACTCTCGTCTTCTTCATAGAAAAATGGCAGTGACGCTCAAAAGAAATGTTATAGACCGTATACATTAAATGGTAATTGAAGCGCGTGGGCACACAGAAAAGAAAAAAAAAACGCCCCGCGAACATGTAAAGTTTCTCATCAGCATGCAAAATTCTTATATTTTTTATTTTTGCAAAGGTCTCTTTAGGGGCTCTGCAATTTTCTAAATAGCCCTAATGTGCTAAAGCACAGCCCTGACAACACTGAATATAAAACAGCACACATCTACTTTCACTTGTACACCATTCACACACTGACTGATGTTTCCCCACCACTTCACAAGACTCCAACAGGGAGCAAAAGTGTCAGCACAGCAATCTGAAAAAGTGGTGTAAAAGTGAAAGTAGATGTGTGTACTTCTTTTTCAGGTTTCTGTGCCAACAATTTTCATCATGAGAATGATGATGTGACTGTGTTTTCTGTATCTCAGGTGTAGTGTCTGCAAGACTGTGTTTCATTCCTCCTGTAAGGCCAAGTGTCCGGTCTGTCCACGCTGCGTTCGGATACAAAAGTATTTGGAGAGGGACTTGGAGGACTGATTTAGATTTCTAAGAAAACTGTCATGTGCCAAGCTCTCTGTTGCTGTTGTGTCTACAGAGCTCAAAATCCAGGGTTAGTACCATGTTATTGTAAAGTTATCTTATTTTTCTCAGTTAGCTGGCCAACTGGAAGCGCTTGATCTGTATTTCACACTAAGAGTTTATTGGACTCTCCTTAAGTGCACTTATTTACACATACATATGTACATATTTACTCACATTAGGACACCCATGTACATTCATTCCTGAGATGTCAACAATGCCAAACAAACAATGGTGGAAGAACTGTTATTAAAGCTATGATTTTTGCTTTTTAACTTTATAAACACACCAACATTCAACGGTTAATCTATTTTTCTGGCTTTCACTATTCTGCATGTTTGTGTTTGGAATCATAAGTCTTAGTTCTCTCTCTCTTTGTTTTTGTTGTCGTTTTTGGTGTAGTCATTATTGATTTAGTCCAGCCAATAAAGTCATATTTATGAAACTTAAGACAATTAAATGCCAAGGATCTTAAAGTTTTTATATTTTCTTGATTTTTTTCTTGTTTTACATCTGAATGTCTCATGCCAAGTTTTATATGAAGCATTACGAGTTTACAATAAATATATTAATGTATATGCAGGAATTGTACGTACCTATTAAAGAAGGTGGTTAATGAAATTATGAAATGTACTAACACTTAAAACCTCCTTTAACGGGTCATTTTTTGTACTATGCTGTGCCTTTATTTTCATTTTTCATTGTAGCGTTCATTATCACTAAAATGGATTGTTCCAAAAATGTAACTATTAAAAGCCAATGTGAATTATTAATATATGCCACGAAATCAGAAAGTCTGTGGATGATAAAAAGGATCAACTCTCTTTATTTATTTGATTCTTGTTTTAATGAATGTCCATTTTTAATCATTGATCATTTGCCTATGAAGCTTGACTGCTGCCTCATAAGCACTTGTTTTATATTGGAAACTGAATGAGAGAGATTACATTTGAATTCTTTTTGTTCTGTACTTTTTTTTTTGTTTGTTTTTAACAATGCTGTTTTTCCTGATATTTTTATGACAAGTTCATTACATCACCTGTTAAAGGAAAACTCCCAGATGACGTTCTGTCTTTCTTATCTTCTGTTTTTCCACTCGGGGCAGTGTCACCTAAGCTAAAGTCACTAATTTTCTTTTATTAATAATTCTTTCAGAGTAAATGTTTTTATCCTCATAGTAATGTGCATTTAGTTGTTTAGCAAACGCTTTTAACTGAAGTGTTTCTAAATATTCAGTTTTTGTCAATTTTGTCTGTGCTCCTGGGTGTTTAAAGCTGCTCTCTGTTCTCGTACTGTCTACTGGTGTATGTTCGTGCCAATGTAACTTAAAGAAATCGTTTGCTAGAATCATCAGCTATAGAAAGATAGATGTATATTTTTGCCTAACTTGTCATTCTCATCAAACCACATCGCTCTGCATTTGTGTCTGACTAGATCTTCCTGTTTGCTTACCTCCTGGCATTTTTTTTTTTGTCTGTGTTTGTTTCTTTCTGTCCATCATTTGTATACACCAGTCTATACCAAACAAACTCCATCTAAAAAATGTGGTTGTAAGCATATAAGAATCTTGAAATGAGTGCAACTTGTGTAACTAAACCTGGATCAGTTTGAATAAATTATTTTTACTTTAGATATAAACACTTTTCTATGGACTGGTCGATTTTGAAGTCTTTTGCTTCCATGATGTCTTTTTCAGACTTGAAAGCATCCTAAATGCATATTTAAGTGTTTTTTTTTTTTTTTTTTTTTTTTACACTTTATCTACATCTGCATGGACTTCAATTACAATTATATAAAAACTTTGTCAACAAAATGAACCAAGAATTTTGAGCCTGGCTTTATCCAGATTTCTGTTCTAGAAATGTATTTAAATGACTGCATTCTTAATTAAATGCCTCGTTTGAATATATTTAAAAAAAATGGCATTTCATAAAAAAAACTTAAATGTTCTTTAAATTACTGGGGAACGGTGATAGGCTAGGCCTAGTCTGAATATGGTATGGTTGTCTTTTTCTCGATGATAACCTCTACCTCACCCACACTACACACACTTTGATACAGCATTCAAAAGGTGTAGGCTAATGCTAATGTTGACCCTGGATGTTATCAGCACCGCACAGAGTGAAAGAAAACACACGAGAGAATAGCATCATTGATACGTGAACCTTAAAACCTTCATCCTTAAAGTCTGAGCATTCCTGCCAACACCCACGTTTGAAGTCTGTGGAATCCAAATAGGACTCGGAAATATGAGTCATAATGCCTAAAAGGACTTTAATGCAACGCAAAGTACAGCCCTTCAGTTTCGCCTCTGCCGGCCCGCGTTGCCATGTCAATATTTAAAAACACATTAGCACTAGCAAGTTCTCTTCAACGTTTCTCTTTTTTATTTCCCGCTTCCTCATTTTCCATCTTTGACATGTTCCTTCACTTGGTTACTGTAAAAGCACTGGTGGTTTTAAATCGCTGTGAGGATCAGTGTTTGTCGACTCAGTCTCACACACCCTCTGCTCTCTTCACTCAGCCACGCTCAAACCCGTCTAGCAACACAAATTTGGCCACATTTCTTTCTCACCCTGACACAACAGCACTACAGGTCTAAAGTATGGGGCTGACACATCCTGGATTAATCGAGGGACAGACATAGCTAATAGTTCATTATTAGTGTGAATTCTCCTGTTATCCCAGAGCTCACCGAAGAAGGAGTCGAGGGATTGTTCTGCTTTCCAATGGTAAGTTACTTTTTATCTGTATCTCATTCACCCAGAGTACTGTGTTAATGTCACTGCACTTAATTAGAATCTGTGCATGTCGTTTTGTAATGATCAGCTGTCAACATTATTTCCTGCAGTGAAGTCTGTATGTTCCAGTATCAGTGCATGTTCTCGAGACTGATAATAGGTGGAAGCTACTTTCCCAATCATGTACCAAACGGAGAGTTTTGTTTTGCTTTGATTGTTATGCTTTGCTTATTTTATAAAACATAATTTGATTTAAAATATGTTAGGATGTAAGCAAAAGATTCAAATGTAATTAATATCTCATAATTGTTTGTATATTAATCTCACTAAAGGCCTGTGTGTGTTTATGTGTATATTGTAAATATATAAACTGTACACATACATATGTGGTGCACATGTGTACATTTTAGTTTAATGTACATTTTAGAATTCATAATTGTTCAGCAGTCTGAACACTGTGTAACCTGAATGTTTTCATGAGTGGTTCGTAAGCATTCTTCTTGACATAAGAGGCGTTGTAGTTCCACAGAGGCACAGCAGATGAAAACACACGCTCATGTCTTTGTCATTAGCTGTTGGTGTGGCAGACTAGTTGTATAATAAAATAAATTGTTAGTTGATCAGTCATCACAGAAACATCAAATCTGCTTTAGCTATACATATGTCATTAGTATTTTGCAACAACCACAAAACCGAGATTGCAGTTTGCACATAGATGTATGTTTTCCTGTTTTACGAGTTAATGTTTCCCCTATTTTAGTATGTCTTCTTCTGTGTAGGTTTGGGGTTAGTGCAGCGTTCCCCTGCAAAATACGCTCGCTTCCTGTAGCAGTGCTGTGCAAAAGAGCTATCTCCTGCTCTAAGTGAATGCTTTTAGCATAGCTGTTATCCAGGTAGTAATGGGGGGACTAATCATAATTTAACTTAATATTCAAATTTATAACAAAATACTGTCTTTTGACAAGCAATTAGCTGCTCCACAAATTACAAACCAAAAGTAAAAACGACTGCAAAAAACAAAGAGAGCTGTATCTTTTTAACATATATAAGAATGATTCTATTAATGATTCATTGGTTCATTCATATGAATCACGAGTCTGCTTTTTTTGTCCATATAAGGGTAGCCTAACCAACAAAATATCCTTAAAAATAGCATCTTTTGTGTTTCACAGAAGAAAGTCACACAGGTTTGGAACAACATGAGGGTGAGCAAATGATGACAGAATTGAATGGCAGTAATTTTACGTCATCCTGAAAATCAGTGCTTTTAAACATGACAAAGATGCGATATTAGCCTCCGGTTTCACAGAAATGGTTTAAAGGATGGGTAAAATGCCATTTTCACAAAATGTAAAATAAATATTTGACGTCCCCAATGTGTGTGTGTGAAGTTTAGCACAAAATATCCCACATATGTTTTTATATAGCATGTTGAAGTTTTTTGAGGGTTTGCAAACGCACCGTTTTGTGCCTGGCCCTTTAAATGCAAATGAGCTGTTGCAGAGGGCGGGGATTCAAGAGCTCATGTGTTAGCAGCTGATGCACTAAAATGACAGAAAGTTACTGTTCTCCCTTAATGTTAAAACCATAGACTGTAAAAAGTATGGACAAAACATCTGTGACTTTCTGAAGAACAGTTTTTGAGGCTGTTTATGGGGGGTATGGGTTGGCACCATATTGGAAAATCTTGAGAAATACAAAATACAAATGTTCTGAAAGGATACAGAGGTGGCATGATGTGTTGTGTCAGATCATGGCCGAGACGTCAAATTCCGGTCGGCGCACCCCGTTATCAGCTGTCAATCAAAGTTAACCGCCCATATTTGTCATACATTTTATATCTAAATACGATCTAATCTAACGAGTTAAACTAAGACTAAAGGCCATTGCACACTGAGTCCAAAATTCGCATCCGAAATTTTCGCACGTTGAAAAAAAATTCGACCTCACGTTATGTCAATCACGCTTACACACCGCCTCCGAAACTTTCGTCCGTCATAAAAAATTCGGATCGGGTTCGATTTTCCACTTTCTTCTCGAGAGGAAAACAAAATCATCCTCACTGCTTGACGAATCCATTTTGTATTTTTGCGTTTTTTCCCTGCAAAGGTTTAATAAATACGCATCGGACTCAGTGTGCAAGGTTTCTGTGCTTGACGAATTTTTAGGCTGACGAACACGAAAAAACGCATACGAAAATTTTGTACTCAGTGTGCAATGGCCTTAAAGACTAAAAAATCACCCCCCTCACAGTTGTCAGGCACTCAGAACCTATCGAAAAATACAATAAAAGTCCATGGGACCAAACTGTAAAAGCATGAATTTATGCTGTGAAAAAAGACATTTTAACATGGGATCTATGGATATTTGCTCCCTTTTGGGACCTCCCTCTAGCGGATTTTAGATGTATTGCAGTTTTTCGCACTTCCGGGTACGCTTCGATTTTTCAGATTAGAATGTTGCTGCTTGGTTAAAATGGAGTCAGTCAAAGATAGAGAGACTCTGAATGGTTAGTTGAGGAATTTTAGTTGCTGATGTGGAGTTAGGATATTCTGTCATGTAATCTATAAATCGCTCATATAGACGAATCCGGCGAAACTACCGGAAGTAAGCGGGCGCCATTACTGAGCTGTTGCTGGGTAGCGTTGCGCCATTGCCTCCTATTGTTTTAGTTGCAACTTGCGTCCACTGGAATAAACAGCCCGCGATTTACGACTGTCACTAACGTTACCCCTTGTATAATGTCGAGTGGGTAAACAGTTTCATTATAAATTGTTTCAATGCTGGCAGTAAAATTTCAATTTTGATGAGAAAACATTGTGAATACCCCGGGTCGACTGCCCCTGTCTGGTGCCGTACAGTTTACACAGATTTCCTGGGCGAGTGGACATTCGCGTATAAAACAATTATTAAATGACATGAGTAAAAAAAAATATAATAAATATGTGATGAAGTGATCAGCAAAATCTCCTCTCTTGCTATTTTTTCTATTCAATTAACATGCTATGGTCATTAAATGGCTTTCCTGAGCTAAATGTAACGTTATGTGACTTAATTGTTTTCCTGCTGTATTGACCTCTTTCCATGGTTTAAAAACACTAATTGGTCGATATTATGTATACTTTCTAGCTGTAATGTTACCTTACCCTTGCCTGTTGCAATGTGAAAATGAGATAAATAATGGACACAAATGAAAAACATGAATTTGTTTATTTGATTTCATTCATTTATTTATTTATTGTTGCCAAATGGACAGATCTTTTTATAACTTTAACTTTTTAAGTTAGCCTAGCTAGCTTGCCAAGCTATTTTCATAAATAACGTTAATCTGTAAGATCGTTTGTACCTTCATCTGTGACTGGAGGCCACTGCAGTCACAGATCAAACCAACAAGTCATTCTGCCTGGCTGTAGCTGTCATCGAGGGTGAGTTCGCGTTATCACAGAGGTTTGTTTACATACCGATACCGGTGCATATGTCTATATGCCTGTGTAACAGCTCAGTAATGGCGTCGCCACAAGATGGCAGCCTACACAGAACGCTCGTTGGATTCGTCTATAGGAACTGTTGTGAGATGCACACAGAGCGACTTTCTATTGCATGTTAAAAAATGGATGCTAAAGTTTGAGCTGACTCACAAATGTAATCTTATACAACCACTCTTCCTCTTCTCAACATGTATATTATGTTCCCGGGGGCGGGGTTTATGGGGGGTTTATGTTCATTTTGGGGTTGGTGATGTCACTAACCCAGGAGGAATGTTGTGTAGTCACTTCCAGCTGTTTGTTGTAGTCCTTGTCTTTAAAAGCAAATATCATCCTTTGCTTTGAACTTTGAGTGTTGTAACTTTCATAATGTTGTACATGCTCAAACAGCAACATTACACACTAACTAAAG